CGAGTATGGACTGGAAACCAAATGCACTTAAAGCCTGGGCTAAGCCGGGATTCGAACCCGGGCCTCATTGGTGCAAAGCGAGGAAAGAACCACTACGCTAACCCGCTCCCCCTGTCTGCGCTTTAACGCGTCACTTAACGTACTGATATCTCAGTAAAACCAATACTGTCACCGTCGATAATGGCCGCGGTCGATGCATTGGAACAAGGAGCGAAGAAGTGAGCATGTAAAAGACTTCTTATAACAAAACTGAAGAAACTACAAGCTGACGCTATTGATACAAACCCGCTTCAACGCTCCCACGGTGTTTTTTAAAATCCTTACCGCATCCTAGGGTCAATTGTGAATATTCATATTAAACTACTATTTTGCATGCAAAGGCCACGCCTCGGTTGTAGGAGCTGAGATTCCCAAGATAAGACGGTAGAACGAGCCGTCGATTGGTGAAATGAAGTCATGAGAGGGCGCAATGGAAATCGGGGCGCGCACCATATATTATGCGCGATCGAGTTCTGCCGTCTTAGCCCAAGATAAGACTAGTGTATGCAGGGCATTCATGCAATGAGATTCATTGGCGCAGAGCATGCAAATGAGGATCCGTCTGCTTGGGCTCAGAGTTCTAGTGCATGGTGTGAAGGTCATCAAGCGTTCAGCCTCACTGACGCTCTGGCCTAAAAAGAGCAAAGTTTGGGAGCGAATGTGGTCATGAACAGTTTTGTAGGAATGAATTTCGTTTGTTAACCCATACTGGAATATCTCATGCATCCGTTAAACACGTTAGGCTATGACGTGTACATGTTTAAACGCTGAAACGATAAAAAGTTTCCATCCGTAAACACATTTGCCAAGATGTTTAAACAAAGCCCGTTTAGGCATTTTACTAACTCCGTCTGGCATTCCTTTTTATTTTCAACTATATTTTTTAAGTGTAATTCTATTCCAATGTCAGAGAATCAGGGGAATTTGAGGTCAGATTCCAACAACTTGTTTTATCGTGTTTATCAATTTTCCTTTAGAACTACAAACTCTGGTTCCAAGGACAGTTTTTGTGTCATCACTTGTTTTTATGAAATACTCGATGCTATGCACATTTAAATTTATGTAAATAATGCATGCGGATATCAGACCCACCCACATTGGGCAAACAGCCGACGTAAGGTGAACGAGCTTGATAAACTGTGCTCAACGAATAATCTGTGTAATGATAATACATGTTTATTATCATTTCTGTTTATTAGCGTTGGAGAATTCATGAGGATATTAATAATTTTAGCAATTTTTTTTCTGCTTTCAAAGTGTCATGAGCAGGGTGGGGGTCTGTGTGTTTTTTTCGAAGTGGTATACAAATAACAACAGGAAACTGTGACAGTCCAAGTCATAGCTGTTTATAAAGAGAGCAGCGCAAACTTCATATTTGGAACCAAAATGGCAGTGCAATTCAGCATGTAGCTAATGTGTGCTAACTGTCCGTATGCACTGCCGCAAAATCCACCATTTTGGTTCCAATAATGGAGACACTCATATCGCAATACTTTCAGGCTTTCTAGCTCTATAAACAGCTCTGGTCCGCCAAGTGAAATCTGTGACTTGTGATTGCTGCAAACGGTGTCGCCATAGACGGACAATGACACGCAAGGCACTCTCACACTGGTGTAGATAGTCCTATCCTAGCTTGTTCACTGAGTTGAAGAAATTAACTTCCTCTTCTGTAAGACTAAAAATAACATTGCCCGTACCAACGGAATAACTAGCGGAAATGAAAGCAGACAATGAATACGACCATGAGTGGACGTGTGTCTTCATGACCTCATAATTACACCAATTATTTGATGACTATTTTCACTGAATATTTTGTTGGCATTGAAGAAAGCGCTCTTTGAAAACGTACGTGATTTATAAGGATCCAATAGTCGGCTTTAGCTCTGTCTACGTCTCCAGCATCGCCTGATTTTTTTTTAACCAACTAACTTTGAAGTTGTTATAGATCGATATTGAGTCAGTGTCAAGTGGGCATATTGAAGTACAAGTGCATGCAACAGAGCCAAATAGTATATCTAATTTGAACACCACTGTAAGCCTACAAGAAACCTGAGACGGGGTCGAAATCGGATACAAATCATTGTAAAATCGTCATGGTAGTGAAAAAAGACAATGTGGTCTACAGTCGCCTTAACAATAGAGCTGCCTGAAAGGAAAAGGTCACGCAGCGAGTTTCTGGAAACCCTCGCGCGATCCGCCTGTGGGGATTTTACATTGGGCTGTCGTATCACGTTCGATAATTTTTGGAAGAATAATTCCTTACTGAACCACCCCATGAAACACTCATGTTGGACTTTTACTTTTGTCTTCCTAAAGTAATATTTAGGAAAAGTCCCACGGAGATGGGTAAAAAACGATTTTTTTAATGACTTTTCACGTCCGGCGATATCGTACATGTAGATATAGGTCTCCATGTTCATGCACGTTTGTTTTCACTGCCCGTGCTTTCGTGAAAACGAGATTGTACAACATTGCAAAGATTTACCTACCTTCAGTGGATGGGTTCTAAATTCCTCTGAGTTGACATCACGCAGCTGTTGTCTGCAAAGGTTAGATAAAATAGATAATAAAATTTCACGCCATAAATGTTCATCTGCGTATGAGACCACATCATTGCACTGTTCTTCATGTATTTTAGATTTTCGGAAGTGATGGGTCAATTTTTGGCAGGATATTTCTCTTTTAGGTCAAATGATTTTTCAGTTTCTATAAATTGGCATACTAGCAAATATTTTCCAAAGCCTATTTTACAAGTTGGATTTTTTAAGAAGTAACTGAACGAAAAAATATTACAAATTCTAAAATCTTTGCACGTTATTAAGGGTTCCGGAAGCGCGCCATCAGGGGTCAACGTTTAAGCTTTATACTATGGACTTGCTCGATCAGCCGGCAAGCTCCGATGACTCCCAATGTACCTGACTCACTTGTTTGGGGGTGTTATTATATCGAGTGTATTTCCAATCCCTGAAAGGCTGCAACTCGAGTGTTTAAAGTCTCTTGGCACCGTTGCATATAATCGAAACTAGACTTCAAAAGGTCGTTTGACCTCCCTGCACATTCGAATCCGGGTAAAGGGACTCGCTGTGTTGTGACGGCGCACTTGATTGGTTTGTGTGTTAAATGATCCCAACGGAGGCAGCAGTCTTCGTATACAGACTGAACGCGGAAATAAGCACTCGACCAAGTTCTCTGTCGTGGAAAGTCATACCAGCAGAAGGATACAAAAAAACACCCCCGAGACCTCTCATGATGCTGTTATTGAGAAGCTTCAGAATTGCATCTTCATCCATCCTTCTATTTATCTTCATTGTACCGCTATTAGGGATAACAGTCGAAGCAGGTTATGACAACAATGATGGAATCTATGAGAGGAAAAGCTCTGCTGTCTTCAACGACCTCGCCCTGCGTACAACTCGTCACAGCGCATCAAGGGATGACCCAGGGATGGGGAAGACGAGGTTTGCACGTCAGACTTCAGGAGGCTACTCTCGGGATGACATACAGGCTATGCTGAATGCTCATATTGAATATCGTAGGAACGTTACCCCGCCAGCTGCCGATATGAACATCATTGTAAGTCAATATTAGTAAAAATTAAGTTTTGAAAAGAAAAGACGTAAGAGTGAAATCCAAGACCCATGGTCAACTGAGGGAGGAAGGGGCACATTTTTCACTATTTTGAAAAATGGGAAACATTAATACGTGATCGAAATTAGCATCTAAATAATAGTTAATGGTGCGTAACGTCTGGACTGCATCACTAAAAGGACATTCACTTGGCTCACTTCTTTAATTTTCCTATGTCAAATTCAAACAGTCTGCCGTCTTTGGTTGAGAACCCCAGAAACGCAGCCCAATAATCTAGGTCACAAAGACCTAGACATTAAAGAGACATCACGCACCAGTAGCTCACATTAGACTGCTTAACTCGATCACGTTTTAATTTTTCCATTTTCCAAAAATAATGTATTTCTAATGTCTCAGTCTTTACGTTTGATTTGAATACTCAGTCATGCAGGGCTCACAATGTTTATGTGAATTAAGGTTTATTCGCCTAATCGAAGCGACAATCCGCAGGATTTACTTTTTACAACACCATTTCGTACCGTAAAAGCAGTACGTATTAAATATCAATGAAGTATAGTTGCCATATAGTCATATTATACTATAGTTTGGCATACACGTTTTTCAGTAAGGAATAAATTATGAATATTAGTGGAATATACTGGCATAATAACGCGGCAATATTTTAGATATACCCTGGTGTAATGGCCTTGGACCATTTCATTTCTTTGGTATGTCCAAACTGATGAGTCAGAACCATGCAGCTTCTGCTTGCTTCATAACCCAATTCTAGCTCGGTTCACTGGCCAGCATTTTCAATTTGCAAATCATGTGTAGTCAACAAGACGCTTTATATCGAACTTGTACTATCAAATGCAATCTCACTATCGCAGTTTTGGCTGACATGCCCGTCATTACAGAGATTAAGGAATAATTTTTGGTTTTGTGTTGTTTTAAAATTTATACACACAACTATAAGAATATAGTGCTCAGATACACTACCACATAGATATGCACTATCTTCCTCTCTTAGTAATAGTGTCATAAATTTCGACAAAAGCCATCGTCAATATGATTAACTAATTGTGATACATACATAACGATCCTTGGTGTCAATTTCGACTGTCACAGCCGTAACACTCCTGCACAGTTGCACGTTTAAAATGGAGCGGGGTGAATACTTCCGGAGTAGCATACTCAGAATTGTTACAGGCGCAAATGACCTATTCATTCCTCCGGATGAAAGAAAACTCTTGCATATTTGCGCCCCTGAAAATAGATATTGTATTTATAGATTTGAACAACTGCAGCCATGCAGAACAGGTGCAGTTACACGAGTTTCAGGTATGGATTTTTAAAATTTGACTATACTTCCCTGTTTTAATTTCATTGCATACTATGAAATTAAAGTAGAGAGCATCTCTGAATTTTTCAACTTGTATTTCCGGGGCCCGCTGTAGCACAATTTTCACATAGTAACAATTTACAGCCACTTTACCGGCCTTGCGTGCGTCATCCTCCACTTTCAAATTTAATATTTTTTTTAATTCTTCATACATTCTTCAGATTGGGATTTGAAGATTCTTTAAGCAGTCTTTTTTTTTTCAAAGTGATGCGTGCGGTTTTTTGGCAGATTTTTTTAGTTGCGTGTAATTAAAGTAACTTTTTTTATCTGAATCCACGACTAACACAAGCTTGCGTTGTGCTTTCTTTGAACTTTTAGACGTGGAATACGGAACTGGCCAACTTGGCACAGGGTTGGGCTCAGGGTTGTGTGTTTGAGCACGGCTTTCCAAGCGATCCGCAAGCTTACAACGGTCTGGTGGCTCAGAACATATGGATGGGAAGCCAGAGTTATGGTCTAACACGCTCAGTCACGGCTTGGTATAACGAATACAAGGACTATGACTACCCAACGGCAACATGTTCAGCCGGTGCTGTATGCGGTCACTACAGAGTGGTAAGTGACTTGTGTCGAGGACAGGAGTGTTGTAATCAACCGTCAAGTTCTCCTATCATTAGGTCTATGAGCATGCAACGAATACTATACCTTCTGTTTCAATTTATGATTGGCTTTCTGATTAATGATGAAGGGACACTAAACACGTGTCATTCTTAAGAAAGGGAGGGAAAAATTCGGAGATGTGGCGGGGACAAATTTTACGACTGTCCACGAGGACTGATCTCATTATGAATAGTCACTTCAAACAATACGGGCGATTAACAATAGTGCGCCTCCAAGAGTTTGCAACGCGTTGGTCAATCACGATGTGCGAAGTCTGTCGACCCAATGCGCGTTTGAAAAGGGTCGACAGATTTCGCCTGTTGTGATTGGCCAACGTGTTGCAAACTCTTGGAGGCGCACTTTTGTGAATCGCCCGTATTCGGAGACATAATTCACGAGTTTGTCACACAAAGTTGCAAGACTCAATCTGTTAATGAACCAGCCCCGTGCAATCCTGCTATTGTGATTATTTTATCGTACACGTACTGAAAAACTTTAATGTTATGCTCTTACTTTCTCTGTAATTAATTGCTTTGACAGATGATATATTCTGAACTGGAATCTATTGGATGTGGTAGCGCTGCATGTAACAATGGTCGGGATGTGCTGACTGTATGTAACTACGGCCCAAGGTACTGAATGAGCCCAATATTGAAATTTGCTTTTTTTTTCAATCGAGTTTATGCGCTTGTAGCAAGATCAAATATTCCAAATCGAAAATTTAGTTTGGTTTTTTAAACGTCGGTCAGGAAGCAAAGGCAAACAGGCTAAATACAAAGCATTTAGTAATTGCACATATGTAGTATATTTTCTGTTGATATGGTAAAAGTAACTAGGGAAAATTTGATTCTGTAACGATTCTTATACATTTATTTTAAACGTCTCTGACTTCAGCGTACCGAACAAAGGAGTTCCTTACAAAGCTGGGCCGCCGTGCGCGCTGTGTGCTTCTGGGACTGGATGGTGCAATAACAAACTTTGCCGTAAGAATTCCTTTCTTTCCGTGTTCAGTCAGCCCAACACGCCTGGAGAAAAAGCAAAAAATAAGGATTCAGTTTTTCCCTTTTATCTCGTATTTTTAACCGAAAGGAATATATCCACTGGACCGGGAGAATGGAAGATCTAAAGGAAAGTGGGCGGTACATACGCCCACAGGTGGGGCACTTTTAGGAAGTGAAAAACTTTTCATACTCGATGTTCTGTATCAACCTCTGTTCTTGGCACAGTTCCAATAATACTGGGAGTAAGACTACCAAAAAACCCCCCAAAACATAAAAACTTTTTATCATTAAAACAAACCTTTATTTTTGTTGTTTTCCCACCAACATCAATTTGCTTAACCCGATTATGTTAACACTCCATAAACACAATTTCCCCACAAGGAACCAACCCTGATTACATCATTTTATAACTCGTTTAATTGAATTCAATTTTATTTTAGAGTCCGGTTGTGATGGGGAAAGCGAGCAGTGCAGTAAGTAACCCCACCAGGGAATTAAATTCGCTTTTATTGTTGCTGCCTATAATATTGTGCTCGTGTGGCACGCGATGCCAACAGACATTTCGGTTTGATGATGTCACTAACGGGGTCTTGGCAGTGCTACGGATATCAACGGGAAAATATGGTAGTACCATAACTGTCGTCTTTGATGACCGAGTTCTGTCTAAACATCACTACGTCGGAAGACGCGACATGTGAAATAGATTAAAGCAATTGCACCTTGAAAACAGGACATTGTGAAAACAGACACACATAACATGAGCAACTCCAAGATTTCTGAAGAAAGTTCAGATAAGCTATCACCCCGTTTGTGCTAAAAAAGAGAAATGATTTGAAAACTCTTGGAAGGATTGTGATTTTTTTGAACACCGACAGAATGCAGCCTACAGTGCCGGAACTGCGGTGAACTGAACAGCGCCCTCTGTAAATGCAACTGCAAGGCGGGTTGGCGAGGCACCGATTGTTCAGGTAAGTCAACCCTGCAAAGGGCTTCCCAGCAATAAAGGTTGAAGACGAATACTACCAGTGCCATCACAAAAAGGAAAAGAAAAAAACCCAAAAAAACTAAACTGGATGGTGCTAGGAATGCATGATGTTTTTAAGAAAAAAGAAATCGCAGGCATGATGATAGGCCTAAATTTTAAGCTCAAAAGTGATTGATGTAAGCCGCGCCATGCAACCTGCCGTCCACACTACATTTCTGGATGTTTTTTTGATGGATGCTTTATGGTGTCTTTTTTTGACAGAGCCTTGTAATGATTACAAAAGTTACTGCAATGTCTACAATGCGGCAGCGTGTGAAGGTGATTCTGGGGCACAGAAAGACTGCCCAGCTACTTGCGAATTGTGCGGTAAGAACTTGAGATGGATTTCTCTTCATAAGCCAAATTTTTCCAAATTAAAAAGAAAGACTGTCGAAATAAAAGACTATGAAAGATTTCGAAGCCCTCTTTTAAGAGAGGTTTTATCACTGACATGATGTGGCCCGGGCCAACACCTCAAAAATCCGCACTCTGTAAAAGCCTTTCTATTTTATATGAAACAAAGTCTAGTGTACGGAAGAAAGAGATGCTCTTCACAGGATGTAAGCCCGTCATGTTCAAATCTTCTACTTTAATTTGATGAATCACAGATCACGTGGCAGGTAACTCATTTTTATCTCTCGAATGCATAACAGCTATAATTAGTGCTTCAACACCCTCTGAAGCAAAGTGTTGTGACGGGAAGATGTGTGAGTCGGGTGAGGTTCTCAAAGAGTCGTCTTGTGAGTGTGTTGACTACATGTACCTGGAAAAGACCAAGCCAAACGTCGTGGGTAAGAAATATTATCAGTCTGGAAACGACTCTTGTGCTATAAGGGTATTTTCTCAACGTTCTTTATCACAGCTGACACAATGTGGACAGGCAGCGCACTAAAACGCGTCCATGGAGAGACATCTTGTGCTCAATGTAGGCTTACAAGATGCATAGCGGCTTCACAACCCTCAAAACCCACATTGTTGTGCTGTGCACGTATTTAATTCTTGTCCTAAATATCAACTGCCTGAACTTCTAGGCCAAATCTTTTACGAAACCGATCAAATCTAAACGTAAGTTAACTAAAAAAAATTAAACCGAACAGCATACCGTACAGCATGATGTCCCGTCATGCGTGTGTAGAGGATCAGAAATCCATTCTCCATTATAAAGATCAGATCAACATCTAGTTATTTTAGGATAATTTTCTTCCTAAATCAGCAGCCCAACTTGTCAGTGTTAATTTCTAATTTTCGTTGGTTTCCCTCTTTCCACACTAGCTCCCGTTACCGTCAGCTGGACGTGCGTACCAGCCCTTGCTGTTCTAGTGACATCTATACCTGTTCTAATGGGATAGAATTCACCTCTCTGGAGGCCGTGGGCTAGTGGAGCAAAATTACAGGCAGACTAACAGCAAACGGTTCGAAATGGCTGAAACCAATTTATCTCTTTCCTATTGGCTGAAACAGTCGCACACAAATTTCCGTTGCATTTCTGACTGGCAGACACGAATTTCATGTGTATCGCTTGTTGGCCGACACGAATTTCTCGTGTATTTCTGAGTGGCCGATATCAGTGAATCTTTTTTATACAGCTGATTGCTCGACATGCGTTTTTTTCGTGCATAGCTGACAGGCTGCCAACGTTTTCTTTAACACGCTTACATGTTCTTTTTACAAATCGGTGAACACTCATTTCCGCATCTCATCAGTCACATTCTGTTCGGCCAAACTGGAAATCGAAAACACAGCAAACTCTGAATTTAAACACATAATTATATGCATGGATAAATCTGCTAAAACTAGTCATATGAAGCAGTTAAGAAACCACTCATGTCAATTTAACAATTAAATTTAATGTCATTTGCAAAATATGCATGAAAATGTACTTATTTAAGTGAAATGTCAAGGTATTGTAGATAGCCTTGTTAGTGGATGGTAATAGTTACAATTAATAAAACTGAAACCAATACAGGCGATTCACAAAGGCGAATTAGGTCGACAGATTTCCTGCATTGTGACTGGCCAACGCGTTGCAAATGCTTGGAAGCGCACGATTGTGAAACGCCCGTATTGTAGACGAGAATACAAAGTTTAAAAAAAATCAGTAATTTTCAATGGTCCAATTGCTATTCTAGGGAACACGTGCTACAGATATCCCTGAAATATTTGTTTGGTATCTTGCCACTAACTATGTTTATTGTTGATTTTGAAAAGATTAAAGTTTAAAGTCAAAATTTATTTAAAAGCAATCATGAACCAAATCGAATTAAGTTGTAAAATGAAGACACAGTACAGTACTCTTCTTGAAAAGGATATTTTAAAGTTTAATATTTCATTTGTACATTGTTTTGAAAAAAGTAACCATTTAAATTTAAACTTTTTAAACTCTGAGAAAAAAACAAAGTACGAGACATTTTGACTAATGTAGTGACTAGTGATTGAATAGAAGATGTAATGCATTTAATATCTTCGACGAAATAAGTTGATTTTAGCGGGTGTCGATTTTTGGCTGTTGTATTTTCTCTTGATGCTGTTCAATTGAAGGGTCCTTTTTGATTTGGGTGAATGTTTGTTCTACATGAAGAAATTTCACCGCAGGTTTTTCTTTAACTGTGGAATGTAGAGATGTGCTAACTAGAGTACTTCCAGAACTGATGGGGAGAGCCAGGTGGTTTCCTTTCCTGAAATCTAGCTGTGATGAGGTGAGCTTAGAATTATGTGGAGTGATTTCTCCCGTCTTGTACTTTCTTGTACTGTTTGAAGTAACTTTTGTAGCTATTAGCTTGAAATTCAGAATAAAAGGCGCTGCCCATGATGGTTTCAGGCTCTTGTTACTTTTTGGTAGATGTCGGGATGGAATTCAGAATAAAAGGCGCTGTCCATGATGGTTTCAGGCTCTTGTCACTTTTTGGTAGATGTCGGGATGGAATTCAGAATAAAAGGCGCTGTCCATGATGGTTTTAGGCTCTTGTTACTTCTTAGAGGAGGAGACTCTAGACACGCCCACATCCCACATGGCTGTGCTTTTACCCTCAGTCTCCTGCTGCCACTGAACTAAGTTATCTCTGAAAATGAACAAACACAGGTGTTTTGTCAGGATCTTTTTTTCAAATTGTTGCTTTTAAAAAGATAAAAAGGACCGACACATTCACACTAAGGGAAAAGATGATGTAATGCAAGCTATACGATGTACAATGCTGCGTGTATGAGGTAACTACGCTCAAGACAAACACTAAAATTGGAAAAATAGCTACAGAAAAGTGGAGAAACGAATTTATGACAAAGAATGAAGAACTTCAAACAAATCTTAAAAGTTGCAGAGATGAGACTGACTTGCATCCTTCAAGAAGGAACTTTGCTGATGGAATGATGTTGGACAATGTTGAGAAGCATGGTAGTGCGACATTTGTCAAGAACCCAATCTAGAGGGAAAAGGTCAAACATTAGTTGACTGTTTAAAAAAAATTAAAGTTGGGAAATTGCTGCCGAAAAAACTAGGAGAGGGTGAGGTTGAGAACAAGCCTTCTAAAAAAAATGAATGGATACAAATCTGAAATTCTCAGTGAGGGAATGATCTAAAATAGTAGGAGCAGGATGAAGAAGGCATAGAAGCCAAAGATGTGGATCAGTTTGACTGCACCAAGATACACCTGCTGCTTAGGTAAAGTATGCTGTTTATCTCTGTCCATCATTTCCATGGGCTGCTCTCCTTGTCTCTTCTCCTCATCACCCTGGATGGTAAGAAAGAAAGAAAACTCTTCAGATTTCAGATTCTTGGGAGTAGAAATAAGGTCTGTACTTCAGTATATAAGTGGCTTTGAGATAAGTAACAATTCTAAAATATATGAGGTGCTGGTAAGAGTTTCTGAGAGAGAAATCTGTTGTTACTTTACCTGGGCGTAGAATTCTTGATAAAGACAGTCAACACTTTCTCGTTGGTTTGGCCAAAGTTTGGCTGTAGCACACAGGTCACACGCCGTCATCATTAAGGCCTGTACTTTGGGTCTGTTGAAAAAACTTCTCATATTGCTTTCCACATCATTTGGTGGAACATTTTGTCAGTGTATAAAAATGACAACATCCACTTTTTACAGATGAAACCACAAAATTGGTCGACCTTGAAATTTCCATGTAGATGAGGCTCTTATGACTGCTTGGGTTAATTTAACAGGTTAAGCACAAGCACCAAACATTTCTGCTAAGCTGATTATAATCAAGCAGGCTCAACTGTAATTAGGTTCTTTGGCAATTTTATTAAGCCAAAACAATTTCAGCACCAAAGCAGACTTGTTTCTTAGAATCACGTATGAGCCAAGCATAGGTCAACCTATTTCTGTACCTGTGTGCTGTGTTGGTGATATCAAGGCTGTTGGACATGAGGAGTTTTGCCACCTCTTGGCGATTACCAAAGTACAGCATGAGATCGGTGGAAAGAATGCAATGTTGAATCAACCCAATCACCTAACACACAAAAAGAAAAAAAAAGGCTTATGATAACGGAAATACAAGCTGAAATATGACAAGAATTGTAGGAACTCCATCCAAACATAGTGGCATGTCTGACCTTCCCTCTGAGCTCTGAAAATGCCACACACCTGTTTGTAGGTGTTGACTGGAAGACGAGCGAAGATATTGAGGCCTGGATGCTGAAGGATGTTCAACGTTGTCTGATAGTGGTGGTTCTCCAGGATGGAGGACGTGTAGAGATCTGCCAAGGGAGAGTCTGATCTCTGGATGAAGGCATTAGTGGTGCCGCGATGGTCTAAATCATGACAGATACAGGCGATGAACATTGCCTGGCACTGAGGAACGCGGAGAGAGGAATCAAATAAAGTACTACTGAGTACAAGCCCCTACAATCTACAAGCCCCACCCCTGTATTAGCCTTTCTTGTATTAGCTCTCACTATGCCATTTAGCCTTTTTCAGGAGGATTCTGCAAAGATCGGAAAATCAAACCACCTTGATTATATTAAAACCTTTTTATAAATGACCCTGTAAGACTGATGCAGAAATAATTGGATGGCTTTTTATCAAGCAAAAAAAAATTTTAAGAGGATGTAAATTAAAGGAAGTTAGCCTAATTAACAATAACAGGCTCTATTGTTAGTATTAGATACATACTTGATAACTATGGCAAGAATTTCACATTTCGTAACATTTACCTCAAAATCGGCAAAGATGCCAGGAGAATGCATCAACAGGGAGTACATGCAGTGGGCAACGTTGAAGGCATGGGGCAAGTTGTGAAAGGGATTCGGCCGATAATTTCTCTTGACTGTCAGGAAGAATTTGGCCAGGGTGACAAGGTCAAAACTGCAAAGGTAACAGAGACAGAAGGTGAGAAGAGCAAACGTCTTGAGAAATGATTAAACACAGGAGAAGAAACGGGAGATGTGAAAATATACAAAAAGATGACAGGAGGAGACAAAACGAAGTGATTCAATTTCATCTTGGAATATCTTTCTTGCCATGATGGACGGGGTTACTGTCTGACCGTTTAATGAACTGATCAGCGAGATGTAGGTGGGCTCTATGGGTACAGCTATATGGTACAGAGGTGCTTTGCTCACTGACAATTTAAGAATTTGGACCATGATAATCAAAGAACCTAACAGTATAATCTGAATGATATTTTCCCATGTGACATAATTTTAACTTAGAAAAATTGCTGGTAGCCTACCAATCTTCTCCGCAAAGTTTCTGGGTCATATGCAGCAAAAGGTCACAGAGAATATTGGTGTAAGGACGGCAATCAAATTCAAAGCTGGAAACAGAAAAAAGGTTAATCGTAAACAGAAATGGTTGAATGTTTTTGCATTAAGTTTGTTTACCTGTACAAGAAATCCACAAAGAATATCCAAAAGGTTTGAGAGCTTCTTTCTGAATTTATTCCTCAACAGAATATCAAAAATATTTCTGATCACATCTATCCGTTCCAAGTGGGAACAAAAGAGGGCAGGTTTCAAAATGAAATTGGCAGTTCTTTAGTAAAAGTAACCTCATAGGGGCACAGGTTTATGTGCATTTGATGGAGAGCACGCCAAGTACAGGCAACAAAGTTATTCTGGAATGTATGGTCTTTGCGTGCACACTGATCGTGTGCAAAACTGTGTACCAATGTTTCTTTCTTTTGCTGGTGAGGGTGCACTTCAACTCGGGGTGGCTTACCTGTTCAAGTCATCTGGAATGATAGTTCGTTTGGTCCACCTTGACAGTAATTTGTCAGCGTCTCCAGCCGTAGCACAAGTATGGAAAGCCAGCTGCTCTTGTGTGACTCCAAGGACTCGTTCACAATGTAAGATGCTGCTGTATACCTAGAGAGGATTGAAAAAAAGATGGAGCTTGAAGTAAATGACAACAGCAGCGCAGACCTGAATTGGGTTTCAGTGATTTACCATGTATTTTGCACATGGTAGTTCCATAGGACTGTCTTGTGTAGACCATTGTTTGTTTGGAGGGGTTGAAGTCACTGGGTGGGCCGGTCTTATGACCATGTACCTTTGAGTAATGCAGAGCTAGTGCACAGTAAACTGCAAACATTCTGAAGTTGGACTCGTCGGTTTTATCAAAGGCTGTCTGCATGGGATCTTTCTTGTTGATGAGCTGAACCACGCCGATGACTAATCCATGGCTGATGATGGGCATACACAGGATGCTGTGTGTTGTGTAGCCTGTGCGAATGTCAACTTCCCTGGAAAATTGTGGATTGAAAAATGGCCAATCAGTAACCGCTGTTTCAAGAAGTTTGGTCAAAATGTTGGACGAGTGAATGATTATGTATCTCCATGACAAAAATGGAAAGTTACATCCATGCTACCTGTTGAATCGGTCATCATTGTAAGCATCAGGGATGTTAACTACTTCCCCAGTCCTGGCAACATGGCCTGCAATGCCTTTCTCTATGGAGAACCTACAGAAAGTTGGAAAGATTAGTAATTCTTGTCATACCGATAAAAACTGCCATGCTCAGTACTGACCAAATTAGAATTTGTTTTTTTGCAAAATTATGCAGCTTTACACAAAAATTTTTCAGAGATAAAGTTGCATTTTACAGGTAGTGAATAAGCAACAGGTACGACAAAAGTTTTAAGTGAGAGTTAAATAATGTTAACTGTTTGACCGCTACAGCAAACGATATATCAAAATAATCTCTACAACTGCTGTACCTAATCTGCTGCTTCTTGCTGAAGACTGGTTGGCCATTAATGACTTTTCCCTCATCAAAAAGATCAGCGTACAACTCCTCCGTTTTGGGGTCCAAGAGAAACAAAGCACATCGGTCAGCACTGACCAGACTCTTAGCAAACATCTGAAGAGAGTCAATAGTAAGGACAATCGTAGTTAGCCTCTCAGGTTTGGAGCTTTTCTTAGTTTTCAAAACTTTGTAAGACAATAGAAGAAAGACAGGCATACATGGGCAGATCCAGAACCAATTTTTTTTTGGGAAGGGAGAAATTAATTTGTTGGGGGGGGGCAAAAACTTGGAATTTTGATCATGTAGTAGGCTTAACTAATTATGGCCTTTCTGAAGGGTGGCTACAGTTTGGGGGCTTCCAACACATTTCTGTAAGGAAAAGAAATGGAATAATACGTTGCCTTTCGCTTATTACAAAAAACATGGCTGCATGAGATGATGTCTCAGATTAGCCCACGGTGGATCCGACCTCGGAGGCATGTAAGCTTTGTTTGATAAGAGGGCATGATGCCAATTACTCACAATAATGTGTTCAGTCAGTGTGTCAATGGCAACTATGTCATCAAAGATTACCCTGAAAATACAACAAATAAAGATAATCCATTAGATTATAAATGGGTCATTCCATGAGGTTGGGGCACAATTTGTGATGGTGTCCTTGTTACATCCAAAACTTTAACCACCTGTCATGACCTGTAAAGTAGGTCAATTAGTTTGTAAAAAAACACACATCTCTGTATTCAGCCCTGCAAGACGTACAACAAAGTCAAGTTGGAATCCACACGCAGGGAAATAACTGTTCATTTTTATGGAACCCAAGTAACAATTGAAATCGTCGCAAATTGTGCCCCAACCTCATGGAATGACCCAAGTAGAAGCACTTCATATTAATATCTATAAAGTGTTATTACACGTACTGCTCAAGACATTAAAAAACTTCAGAAATAGCATGCTAGGGAAACTATTGTGATTAGTATATTCTCATTAATAAATTATTGAATGAAATTCGTCAAGTTACAATGATTAGAAACATTCCACAAAACGGCTAATTTCAGGTAACAGGGTGTTATGAAATAATCAGTAAGAAACAAACAGTGCAAACAGCAAACAAAAGTACATTTATGATTATGATTGCTTGACGAACAAATTGAGCCAAAAAATAAACATTTTAAAAACTGTTTGCATAAACATCAGTCAAAATAATTAGAACATGTGTTCATTTTACGAAGCAACTTTGATTTTGCCAAATCAAGGAACACACAATTCTACAATTTGTTTTTATTACAGAAGAGGTTTGGAAAGTCGATCAGAAACACTCACTGAAATTCACAAAGAGCTCAATTAAGCAACAAGAACTTTCTAGTTAACAGATGCATTAATTAGTCTACTTTCTACCTTGAGACCTCCAGGAGGAAGTCATTGAATGCCCTTTGCTTCATCAGACCTTTACACATCTGTTTTGTAATTTAACCATCAATCGGATTTGACATTCTGAAATTAAATCTCAGATCAAATTAAGGTCTCCAGTGACAGAAAGTTTTGAATTACAAAAACTCCAAAAAAGTCATCAATTTACAAAACAGTGAAGGGAAAACTTCTCTTTTCTTGGTTTTCAGAATCCACTGACTGATTTTTTATAACACAGTGCAACAAACTAGCTTATTTGTACCTAGGGGTCATAGCATGATATCCTGCACTGCAGATTTGAGATTGGCCAACCACTTTCCTTAGTTTAGCAGGTGTGAAGTGAAATCATGTTAATATCACTGACCCTTCCATCTTGATTAACGAGCAACAAACGGCCATATTTGTGGTTCTGGACATCAGCAGACCCAAGGGAAATCAAAGTCTCCATAAAACTTGCAAGGAAACAGATTTATGTGGACACTGCAGATGACTGATGTTGTGTCCTTAACACGTTCCTTAATAATATAAATTAATTGCCAGCTCTTAGACTGTTACCACGGTGAGAATACAGAAACGCAGATTCCAAACATACTATTTGGAAATATTGCTCCACCTTTTAGCTTGTCAGAATGAAACTTTTAAGATTTGTTCACACATACCTGAACTTTATGAAGTGCTATTCCAGCCCACAGCATGTAAGTTGATGCAATCTGTTACAAACAAACAGATTAATGCTTAAATGCAAACAGGTTTTCTACAAAAGTGTAGAATCAAACCTTAGACCTCCTAACAGGAGAATTTGAAAACACAGAATTAAACAGCTTAAGTTCCTTCTGTACCTCCAAGCTTTCTTCTGTGAATGCAGTATTTCCATAATTTCGGGACAGTTGAAGAACCCCTGATAAGATAAATGAAAAAAGAAACCATTATATTGTTATCGACCACATTCAATGCTTTAAAATGAGAGAACCCAACATTCACATCACAGGTAGTTTTATAAAATTAACATTTGATGGAAGTATTTGTTGTACCTGGGAGATCACCATTAGGAAGAAGCACAGGAAGGCACAGAATGGCTTGGGCATTACTGTTCTCAATGCCTGCTCCTCGAGGGAACCTCTCATCCTAAGCAAAGGAAAGAAATTACCTTGCAAGCTTAAGTCACACACTTTAAGCAAAACTTCAAAGCAAGGGTCTTTAATGGGCATTGGGAGGGAAGGCGCAGAACACTTCAAAGGGTGTGGCAAGTGACGACCAACAATGACACCTATTTCAATGCTGAGAGTAAGTCAAGACTACATACGTGCTCAACCATTCAGATTTACAAGCCTTCTGATATTACAACTAAGACGACACTTGGACAAACTCACAAGGTGTCCATAAAATTCATGTGATGAGGTTTAAAACAACAGACTGGGATATCTACAAACAGTGCGCATTTCTTCTCTTCAGGTGTATTACCGGAAAGCCTTCAGAAGCAATGAACAAAGGGAGATAGAATGAAATACTTGAGAATAGATTTCAAGAATGGAATGAATCTTTACCCCAAGGATGTCCTCCACAAGGACTGCCTCCTTTGTAGAGGCAACATAAGCTGAGATGGTGGTTCCTGGAATAACGGGACCAAACATTATCTCCTGAATCCTGTTGGAAAGATCAGGAACAATTATCTATGTTTTGCTTGAATGTGACACAAGGTGAGTAGACTGCATTTATCTTTTACAGATCAAAATAAAGCAAACTTGTTATATAAATTTCTGCAACATTGATTTAAGTTGTTAATATAATGTAATACTTACATTTCTGAATCTATTTTAAATTGAGAGGAACTTGACAGCACTTACTTTCCATTGTTCTCTCTGCATAGGTGCATATCCTGCAAACACAGACATTCAAATACTCTCATAATTGTGTTTCATCTGGACATTTTTATTTTCTTTGGAGATTGAGCAGAGGTACATTATTCAAACCCTGCAATTTAATATTGCATGAAGACAGTTTTATGTGACGTAGTCCAACCACATCTACTTGGTTATAGTTTTTAGCTAACTTGTAACATTTCTCACCTTGCCATTTGTGCTCACAGTGTAGAGAAAGAAGTCATCAGCTTCAATGGCTGTGAATAGGAAAATGACTGAAATGGTTCAATTTAATCGTGAAGATTGTTTTTTTGTGTCATCGTCAGCTTTGTCTTTAAGACGGCCACACAAGGAATGTCTGGATTTCATGACATTGGTTTGACTTTCATTTTTCCAAGGCAGTTTCTCTTCCATAAGACGACTTCTTCCGCAAAAGCTTTTCTTTCGGACCAAAATCATCATTCAAAGGTCATTCCCATTTTCCAGCTCACAAGCTCCCATTTCAAGATTCTCGCTACCTTTTGCAATAACGGCGCTCAGATGATACAACATTTTAGGTAGTTCTTTTGCTTCTTCAATCACTTTCACCATCGAGGTCAGCATCTTCTGCCTGTCTGTGGTGATTGTGCTAGCCTGAGTATTAAATGATATAAAAAATGAGATCTTTTATAAATTTCATTTTTTCATGACTGGCATATTAATCATATTTAGTGAAAGTGTTCCTAACTTTCACACATACAATGTTGGAATTACATCCAGCGAGAAAAAGAAAATAGTTTCACTTTGACAGTTGAGTCTGCATTGCTTATATCATTCCCTGTCTTTGATTTATTTAGAAATGATAGTCCTACAAG